TGCCCCCAAATGGTTATTTTAATGATTTTTTTATGGGGACAATGAGCATTCACTATCAGTTTTACGGGTAGCCTATTTTGAACCCAACATACGGTTATGGATCAATATCTATACACTTTTAGGGGAATGGACATACAGGACTGCCAGCTGTGAACAGAAGAGGTACAAGGTTTTGACTCACACCGATATTGAACCAACAAACATGGTGGGGATTTAGCTTGAGCTGGGGTCTTAAGCGACCACTGACTGTGGTTGTTTTTTTGCTGATTTGGCTTGCAAAGACGGCAGTTTGAATATTGGTTGAATAACCAAAATGTAGATTTTAAATGATTAGTCTGGTCATTGAAGCAAACCAAATTGGTCATGTCCGTATAAAACGCCACCCGATTATATATGCATAATTACTAAGTTGATAATTACATCCTTGGTACAGTCTCCGACACACGTCATGGTCACGTCATGAGTCAGCTCCTGAGGCTGCGGCAACCACAGTGACTTGGCTTGGCCATGGCCATGGGACCAGTGGTGGATGTTGGTGGTTTCAAATGGTGATACCCCAAATGGATGGTTTGTTTCATGGAAAATCCTACTAAAAGTGCAAAAATAGTCTATTGATGACTTAGGGGTACCCCCATGAGTTAGGAAACCTCCAAATGATCAATTATTTATGATTATTTGCACCCCTAGATGAACCCCAACCAGCAATTTCTATGGCTCAACCACCAACCGGAGATTGGCAATTAGACCATGGTAGACGAAGCCTTTTTTGACTTATGCAGTCCGGGTTTTTTTATTGCCGACAGTGGAACCGAATGCTTGTCCCATAGTATAAAGATTCAGTTGAATTCAGTACGTTTGGAGTGGAAAAACACACCCAATGTCCCCCATCTGGGTTGAATCCACTGTCACAATTGGGAATACCGCCGCCAACAACGTCTGGCCAGTTGAAGGTCGGGAAAACGATGGCTTAAAATCCAATGGATTTTGAATGATTAAAATTGAGTCGTTTTTCCCACAATTTTCATGTGGTGGTGAAAAACCCGCTTTGTAAATGGATATGAAATGATATGAACCCCAGTTCAAAACTTGACATTGCACCTACTTATCCTACTTACTGTACCCTACTGAAGACTGGGTTACAACTACCCACTTACGATTCCTGGAATGAACCAATATACATTCCATTCAATCCCCCCAAAAAAAGTCCCAATAAACCAGTGTTCGCCGCTGTTCTCATCTGTTTTCCCATGGTTAAAATCGGTGGTTTTGGTCAAATCTGAGGCTTGCTATGCCTCAGTTGCAGGTCGTTGGCGCAATCTATCCCCAGCAGGTGACACTCTGGGTAGAAACCATGGAACTGGTTGGTGGTTTCCGACGTTTCCCAATTCCAATTTTGTGAGATTCTAAACCACCTATTCTTGGTGAACTCCCACTATCTCTGAAGTTCAGTTTGAGAGAAACGGACGTTCCTATCCCAGCAGGGTAAATTATAGTGACCTCACGTCGTGACCGAAGCCTGGAATCACGGTTAGGATTGGAATCATCTCAAGAAAGTCTTATTTCAGGTTAATGAAACAATACCATCCAGAAAATTCACATGACGACCCTGGCAGTCATCGGGGTTGGAAGATTATATAAATTATATATATATTGTATATAGTTTCCAGTACAAATGTCTGATTTTCAGGGCCTATGTCAATTTAAGAGAGTGTATAATCCCATCAGCCTAATATTAAACACGCCAATTTATGGTCCGAATGAAGTGGATTTTCCCTACATTGCCTACATCCACCATGGTTTCGTTCAGGTGGTGTTTAATGTTAGGGGGAAGGGATTATTATCCATGTTGTTGGGTATATATCACTATAATATAATCATTATAGATCACTATAGCTGACGTATACCCATGATATAACTAATATTAGGGGGAATTTATTCCCTGATATGAGTTATAATTTATTATAATTTACTCAGAATGATATAGTTATGACATTCCCTGACATAACAAATCTGGTTGGTGGTTTGGAACATGGCTTTTATTTTTCCATATATTGGGAATGGCATCATCCCAACTGACGAAGTCCATCATTTTTCAGAGGGGTGGCTCAACCACCAACCAGATTATTATTAACCATCATTAACCATCATCATAACCATTAGTATTAACCATATATTAGTATATTAACAGTATATTACCAACCAATGGTAGGTCAACCACCAACCAGAAATGTCATGGACAATTTTCCTCTGATCCCACGGTCCCAGGTGCAGGGCGAGGAAGTGAGTGACACCGATCGACTGCACCCCCGCATTGCGCTGTGATGGGCAGAGCTCCGTTGAAGGAATGGATAGTCAGAAAGAACTGGTGGACACATGCTTAAAAAAAATGGATGATTTGGGGAGTACACCCATTTTAGGAAACCTCCATATATATATATAGTATGTATGTATGTATATATATATACATAATATATATATATATGTATGTATAAATTATATATATAATATGTATATGTATATATATATACATAATGATAATATATGTATATTTATATGTATATGTATATGTATATGTGTATATATATATACATACCCTAATAGAAGGGGAATATTATATCCATTAGCCCGATGGTAAACCATCCCATTCAGCAACCATTACCAGCAACAATGGGGATAGTAATGGAATATATTATGTGATTATATATATATACCATTTATAAAACCAGCATAGATGATGGTTTCAATCCCAGCCATAGTAAATTTGGGGATGGTGGACCCCGTTGCTAGCATGGGGATATTCATGAGATATATAGCATTAATGAGCATGATATAAACCAAGAAATACCAACAAGATGAAAATATCTGGATGAATGATGTTGTGACCGTCGTGACGTCACTGGAATGATGGGAATTGATGGGTATGATCCGCACAGCTGGCCGTATGACAAGAGCTATTTTCAGGCAAATTATTATAATTCAGCCAGATAGGTGGTTATCCGGTTATCCATGATTATGCCACACAATGTGGATTTAGCCAGTGATTTTATGCTGCTATGTTCGGGATAGTCAGGCCAGGGGATATCATGGTGATATGGGACAAATATCATGACACGTCGCGATGTCGCTGAATGCACCGTTATTTCGTTGAAACACGAGTTTTGGGCCCAAGTCTTTTTAAAATTCTGGCTTACCATCTGGTTGTTTAACATAGCTATGGAAAACAGTAAACCCATCTATAAATGGGCCATTTTCCAATGGCTATGTTAAATAACCAGATGGTAAATGAAGAACAACTATATTGAATAAACATGACAGGGGAGATTGGGTATGGGATGTTATGGGTTCAAACCGTATAATAGTAGCATATTTTGGGGATGAACATCTAGAACTATTCCTTACTATTTTGGCAAACTGATTGATACTCTAACTATGTTTACTTATCACAGGTGAGCCCATCTGGCTGAAATCCGCATTCAAAATCGGCAACGTTGGGGTAACCACTCATTTCTTTCACCATTTTTGAGACGAAAGGATGATTTTTTTTTGGGCAGGGACAACGATCTACCAGTCATCTCATCCATCTTGAAACGATGGCAACATGTGATGAGATGAGAAGAATGGTATCAGGAGTGGCCATGAAGCCCCAAGGTCATAGGGATCCCAGAAATGGGATATCTGCTGTACCTACTTGTTACTTATCATATTTGGATCATGATCACCACTTGCAATTCCTGGCACCCCCAAGTGACAACTCTGCAGGTTACCTCAAGATATCCCAAGTGCATTTGAACATTGGAGACAGAGGGGGCTATGAACCTCTGCCACAGCTGTCCACCAACGATGTCTTTCGCGATCTGCTTCAACACATGATTGAAGCTGCAGTTTGCTGGCTCTAAACAAAGGCCCCCAACTCGACTAGATAGGAATCGCAATTAGATGCTAGGCAAGTTGATTTCCTTCCAATTTTGGGGCTGTAGGATCACCAATATACCCTCAGAGTTGAAAAGCTCGCCGGAGGCAATCCTTACTGTGGACTTCCGGCCGTGTCACAGCGAAGTTTCGCAGACGTCTTTTGGTTGTGAGCCTGTTGTGCGGTGAAAATTGGCTGGCTCCATTTTTAGAGCCGACTCGGCGAGGTGTGCATTTTCTATCATTTGCTGTTTTTTCTAAATAATGTAAATAATGTATGTGTCAAGATTGAAATCCCAGACATACCCAGACCACAGATAATCTGAGTCATTTGTGAGTAGTCGCCACCCCAAAAAATGGGTCCCCGGGACCTTGACGACGCTGGAAACCTGTGCCGGCTTGGTGTTTTTTGCGTGCCATGGGCGGAGATGAACCAGAGATCTAGCTCTGACTCAAGGGGGACCATTCCAAGGAACAGCAGTTGCAGTTTGGACTGTTTGGACTGGGTTTTCAAGTCGTTCAGCGCCACCATGAGCTTAGCTGGAACCCACGGCCCAAGATTTGAGGCATAGGTTGTGGTGCCATGAGGAGTCGTCACAGTCAGTTTGGTCATCAGATCACCCTCAAAAGTCCACAGCCAATATCATCCTGAACCAATATCCTCAAACAGTATACTGGTATCATCAAATCACACACGAAACAAAAAGTCAGCCATCAACCATCAATTATCACTTATCACTTATATTTACACATGTATATATATATATATATATATGTATATTCTCACACAAGTAAATATTATCGATCAATGGTGAATTATCAAGGTTGATGGTTGATTATCGTTATTATCAAACCACCAATCCATCAACCATCAATATTATCAATTAATTGTCAATTATCATTAGCCATCATCATTATCATGAACATATCATCTTATCATCCACTTTATCAACCCAGCAATTATCTTTATAGCCATCATTCATGGTCATTATATGTTAAAGTTATTATCCTATCATACCTATCACTAAACCATCAACCATCAACCCATCCATCCAGCCATCAGCATCCAACAGCTGCGTGTTAAACGTCTCGCCAAACGCCGCGTTCGGCGGCGGCGGATGCATCGACTCATGAAGCGCTCGGCGCTGGGGGTTCCCATCGGCCAGGCACCGGCGCTGAAGCTGCCAGGACGCTGGGAATCGAAGTCTCCGGGAAAACGGGTTGGAAAACGGCCATCGTTTTGGGTCTGAAAATGGGCTAAAGTCCAAAGCTCCAAACCGGAAGTGGCAAGTCTGAAAAACCGAAATGAACCGAGTGGAACCGAGTGAATAACCAGTTTAAGATAGGGAACATGATGAAAGACCATTTAAAACATTGGGATAGCATAGTTCCAGACAGACCCATGGTTTCCGATGGTCATGCATCACTTCCACATGTTTGGACAACAGCTAGGACCCACCTGTTTGATGGTTGAACACAGAAAATCCATGTTTTCAAAGGTCGTTGGGATTCGCGTGCTGATCCAGTATTGACAATACAATGATAAGAACGACAACGACCACGAGCAACCACAAGGATAATGGTCATAATAATGACAATCATAGTAATAGTAGTGGTAATAACAATGATACCAAATAACAATAACAACAAGTAGTGATAATAGATAACCACAACAATAAAAACCAGAACAAGAACAAGAACAACAGCAACAACAGCAACAACAGCAACAACGATAACAACAAAGTACTCTCTTAATAAACATACTTGTAGTATCTTGTAGTAATAATGAG